CCAATACATACCCATTTAATACTATCAAAATTACTTACTAGCGGCTCCCGGTCTTGGAACTTTTCCTCTGTGGTATAGTATCTGTAAGTATAGTAATTGAATTTTTTTATCACACAAATCACAATAATCCAATACAAAACTACTTTAATTCTATCACTTATTGCAGCTACAAATTCTTCTTGGTCTTGGAGCTTGGTGTCTGTAAGTATAATCAAACTTTTTACAGTAAATCACCATATAAATTGCGATAAACTCAAGACAAAATTAACTTAGACTCTATCAAAATCACTTAGAGCGGCTACACATTCTTCCTGGTCTTGGAACTTGGTGTCTGTAAGTGTAATCGAATTTTTTACAGTAAATCACCACACAAATCGCGATAAACCCAAGACAAAAACTAACTTAACTCTATTAAAATCACTTACAGCGACTACAAATTCTTCCCAGTATTGGAACTTGGTGTCTGTAAGTATAATCAAATTTTTTACAATAAGTCACCATACAAATCATGATAAACCCAAGACAAAACTAAATTTAACTATATCAAAATCACTTACAGTGGCTACAAATTCTTCCTGGTCTTGGAACTTGATGCCTGTAAGTGTAATCGGATTTTTTTACAGTAAATCACCATACAAATCGCGATAAACCCAAGACAAAAACTAACTTTAATTCTCAAAATCACTTACAGCTACAAATTCTTCCCGGTCTTGGAACTTGGTGCCTGTATATGTAATCAAATTTTTTACAGTAAATTACCACTAATGTTGTTAGATGAATCCATTTTGCGCAAATGGCGAAAGACGAAACTAAACCTGGCAAAAAACGAAACCAGGCGAAACTCTGGCAAAACTGTCGAAATTTGGCAAAACTGACGAAACCTGGCGAAACTGCCGAAACCTGGCAAAACCTAGGGATGTTAATGGAGTACTCCAGGGTGGTGTAGTGCATACTCTGGTAGAGTATCCCTTAACACCACACCACTCTGAAGTATGAATCAGAGCATACTTCAAAGTGTAACCCGGAGTATAACCCGGAGTGTAACCTGGAGTACTATGTGTTAAGCACTACGTAATACTCCGGAGTTCATAATAAGACTTCCGTATGATTGGTTGATATAAATCAATTGCCCAGATTGATTTTTTATTTAAAAATTTTGCGATTCGATTTGAGATAGTTTAAATTAGAATATCTCTGCAAATAATAATGTTACCCTAGATTATATCGAAATCAAATCGGCAGAACATTTATTCGGTTAATTTTTTCATAAGGTTCCAGGAATAATGATAACAGCTGTAGTGAATATCATGGGCCGAAATTCGTCTAATTGGCCATTACCCAGGGAACTTATTTTATATTTTTAAAGACTTTTTGAGAACGCAAAAATTCTGGATTATTGCTTTTTTTAAATGAATTTAGTCAAATTAAAATCAGTATCAGATTTACTATAAGTAACCTGAAATGACAAATAATGTATAAAATAAATTTCGCAAAATGTAATGAATTTCAGTGATTATTATGTATATTGTAATTATGGAACTCACGAAACATATCAATAAGATGATTGTTACTACAAATACAAATAATGGGAAAATAAATTAAACCAAAAACAAAAATTATTTTGATAGTAAAAGATCTTGATCACCAAAAATTTGTTTTATCGTAATCATCGAAATCAAAAAATATTATCATTAAAGTTTTTAATTTTGAAAACTTTTATAATAAATGTGTATAAAATTTAATACAAATCCAGTATGCATTCGAATATGGAAAGGATGAGTTCAAAAATAAATGATGCACTGATACGTTATTAATTTAATTATTATTGGAGGTTTGCGTGAAAAAGTAAATAAGATAGTGAAAAAAAAGAATTATTCTATAGTTATTGTTATAATGCAATGTTTTATTAGATTATTTCATGATATCAAATTTAAAAATCTGTATACTTAAACTATTATTATTATTGAATTAATGTAATTATGCTTGACAGTGTGCTTATATCTGAATATATTCGACAATATGCACCTAAAAAAATAATAAATCCAAAACATCCTTCTTTTAAACATTATCTAATTTACTAAATGATATCTATCTAATTATATGTTTAACTCACAAAATGGTAAAAACTATTAATCCAAAACTCCAAGCCTGTTAATATTATGAAATAATTATAGAACATAAAGGGTTGTTATAATTCATCATAGTCATAATAATCATCGCGAACCTTTGTCATCCAGCTTTTTAAGCACATTACAGCACGTACTGAACCTGGAGCAAGATTACTTCTAATTTTCATAATTGTATGAGCCGCGATTGAAAACGCATGTTCGCTTGGGACACTAGTCCTTTGTATAGACAAGTAGTTTTTTGCCATTTTACAAAGAGTTGGAAATTCTTTCTCAAATTTATACCACCATTTAAGCGGGTTTCCTTCTGGAGCAAGTGGAAGGGCCAAGTATCGTTCTAGTTCATTTATCATCGATACATCATTTCTTTGCTGTAATAGTGATTCAAAAAATAAGGTAGATTTTTTTTTTTGGTTTTCTTTTTTTTGCGCAATAGTAGACGTCTTCGCTTCTCCATTTGCTTCTCCATTTGC